TTATTTTTGAAAGGCTCTAGCATGAGTTATACATTGTTTCCAAATCTTACATTCAGACCTATACAAACAACCCAGCTTTCAGTAGCATCACACGCGTTATAACCTCTTCCATTTCAGGAAGAAAAAATGTGTTGCTAACCTTTATGTAAATTCCTTATATTTATTTTTTTGTAAAGTGCACAATACAATGGCAGAGGAAGACAACAATATTTATCCCAAAATCCGTGAAGAACAGGAAGAAAAACTTTTTTTCTCTTTAACCAAGCCTTCAGATTTTGGTGTATTTTTCATTTAAAGAGTGTTGAACTTAGCAAAGCTGTAATGTACAATGTCAAAAAGCACAGGTTATACTGATTCTCTGCAGTGACAGTACTCAAATGATTTCTAAAGTGTATAGTGAGAGCGCTGCCACTGTCTCCATCTTTTTTCTATGTCTGCTGAACAACTATATCTTACACACAGAATTTTCTACAGCCTCCTGGACTATGTCTAGTCTTTATACATATTGGGAGATGGAGAGAAAAGCCCACAATAGGAACACAGAGAAAAGGAATTTGCATCTATATTACTTTAAAACCATTTCAGCTTGACCTTTCATGAAAAATGGTTTAAAGGCTGAATTCTCCAACTGTGGATGCAAAGGTCTTTATTGAGTACTGCTGATAGGACCCTAGTAAACTGTGAACATAGGCAGAGAAGGGAAGAGAAGGGTAGAGGTTTTGCATTAAAAAGACTAATTCCTTAGTATCCACACTAAGATGTCCACATTCCAAGCAGAGACTTGAATAATTGAAGTAGGTTTTCATAAGAGCATGTTGAGCGTTATGGAGTACTATACTTTCCATTATGGAATGACTGACTTAAAACAGAAATATACCCACCCACCTAGTCTCATCAAAAGTCATCTCTGGCCCCCTCATTTAAAAAATAAATAAACTTTAAAATTATAGACTTCCTTGAGGTATTAGTTCTCCTGTTACTTTAAATAGTGCAGTGATTTACATGTTTAAGACCATAAAACTACTGTTTAAACCCTTGTTTAAACTCTTGTGGTTTCCTTGTTTGAGTTTTTTTATCAAATATTTCACAAATACATAAATCATATTGGAAGACTATTATCCCAAAAACCTCAGCTGTGAGCAGTTTCATGGGGATGTTAAGTGAGTAGTTTTCTATCACCAGGAAATGTAAAACAGTAAACAGACTATAAATATTCTCTCATGAACTGAATAAAGAAATTCAGATAATACTTACAAGATGATTCAGAAATAAAGTGTTTAAAGTTTTTTGCATATTCAATCTGCTAAGTTCAAGACACTTAAACACTATTAAAAAACATCTTGAGATTGTAACAAAAAATTCTCACTGAACCAATGTCTTCAAGTAATAAATGGTTTCCAGGATGTTTTTTATTCCATCATATTAATAATCTCACTGTTATGACACATTCAATTACAAACCAACTTTCCTCCAGAAAAGTATCAGTGTTTTACAGACTACAAGGAATACTATTTCCTACTATCTAAGACCGTACACAAACTCTGGTTTCTAAACAAATATAAGAGTCGAGATATAGATTAGACAAATTGTCTGTCAAATGACAAATGTGCAAATGTGCAAATGTGAAGGACAAAATCTGTAACAATCTATCCAGTGTCAATGAAAATGACAAATCAACAGAGTCCAACAAACACAAATGCCTCTCAACTATTCTTTGCAAATCAAGCTCAGACAATTTCAAGCAATTACATGCCTCAACATAAGTTTTGACTATACTAAATGCAAAGTAAGTTAATTAATTATATTTTATACATATATACAAAATAAAAAACTCTATAAAATGCATAATACTCGCATAACCATATATGTGCATGTATGTTCAAAATGTAGGTATAGACTGTCACATACACTTCAGGTAACTTAAAGTCCTTCACAACACTAAACCCAAGACTACAGTGCAACTACAACAGAATTATTCAGTTTGTGTTTTCAGCACTACTCCTTTAAAACAAAAACCCCACAGGCTTCTGAATTAAAAAGTCAGAGGAAAGTTCTTGTATGCATCTGAGACAGAAGATGAGACAGATCAAAGGAAAACCAGAACAGCTCAAAACCTCTGGAAGAGTAGTCTCTATTTTCAGTACTGATCTTTTTCGTCAGGGTTTCGTGCACGGACTAGTAAGGGGAAGCACACCTAACCTCATTAGTAGGTGTTGCACACATGATACTTGCTCAATTTTTCACAAAACCACCCTTCAAAATATCTATTCATTATACATTGACACATATAATTCAGAATTCATCACAATCAATGCAATAAATAACAGATTTCAAATTTCTATTTAATGCCTGATCTGAGATGTATGGAAGCTTTATATACCACATAGTATATATTTCCAATATCATTATTGCATGTTATTAGAGATAGCACATTTGATTTGTATTAGTAGGGAAGTTGTCACTATTCTTTTTGTTGCTTACTGGTATACATTTGTCATAATGGAGAAAACCATATATCAAGAAACAGAGTGTTCAACCTGCTTCCAGAATTCTTGGCAAGCTCTGTTACGACACTCTGCTCCATATTTGACATTCTTGACGTGAGCCCACCGTGCGGAACAGGGTCCACCGGACACCTCAGGACCTCTGGCTGCCTGCTATCTGTATACCCTGACTCTGCCTTTTTGATCTGGCAAAGGGCTGTGTCGGCCCAGGGGAAAAGCAGTGGAGCACTGAAATGACTTCGCCTCTCCTCAGGCTCCCCAGAAATTGATGAAAGCTTTCACGACTTGGAACAGTATTGGAGATGCTCTTTACTGTGCCCAACTACAGCAAGGTCACCCGCTGGGAACCTCCTAGAAACCCAAGAGCTTTGTCCTCCGCCTTGTACTACTGCTGGTGGGAGAGAGGCTGGACGGTTCGCCCTGCGGGGAAACCCCAAATTGCTGAAGCGAGGTGTGGTGCCGCCTCGCACCGCGGTTTGGCACCCCCGGCGCTGTTGGCGTGGCAATGCTCCCGGTGCCGCGGGCTGGCGGCCGGGCCCGCACCACCCCCTGCCGGCGGCGGGGCCGCGTCCCGCTCCCGATCCTGATCCCGCTCCCGCGGCGGTGCCGGGCGCTGTCCTGCCGGCGCCTGGGATCTCTCCCAGCAGCCACATATGAATAAAACACTGGTAAAAAACAGGATAAGCAACGTGACAAAGTGGCTGATCCCAGAGAGCTGCCCAGATCCTAACAGCATCATCAGAAATGTCTCCTTTGGAACGTCTTCTCATACTTATGGGAGGGGAAAGGGAAGATGAAAGTGCCGATGCTTACTTCTCAGCTCTGCTGCTTTGCTCAAGGTCGCTCAGCCTCTACACGCTGCAACATGAGTCCTAATGGCAGCGCAGATGACTACGGGATTACTGGCAGCCCATAGCTCTGCCCCAGCCCGCGCTTGATGCCAGGCTCACAGCGGGACGTGCCTCAGGCTTTAGGACAATTCATACGAAATGCTGCCCCCTTGTAGCATAAACATATTTTCTTTAAGGGCCCTTTAAAAATAATCCGGTACAATAAAACTTTCTCCGTCCCTTAAGAGGAAGACTCGGTTCCTGCCTTCCCCACACCAGCTGCCTCCTCTGAATGCTGGGAAGGCTGAGGCAGGAGGGAGAGGACTCCCCGGCAGCTCAGGCACGAAGCTTTTGCGGTGTGGCAGCCCTGCAAGCGCTGTGAGTATCAGCGGTTTTCAAGCAAATCAGTTGTTTTATCGCCCTTCCCGTCCTGCGCTTCCGCCACCTCAAATACTAATACAGTGTCACAGTCCTGGGGTGGTTTTCCCTGGGGGGATTTATAGCAGTTCCGAGCAAGACTGGGGGGGGGGGGGGGGTGAATCTATTTATCACTGATGTCTTACACACAAGTATGCTGAAGTACTTTCAGCTCTGGCTTGTAGAAGGAAAGGAGCCCTCAGCAGCAGCTCAGCGCTCACCAGTTTACCTTCCCAGAGAAGAGCTCTGGTGCACAGAGGGGGTGTCCCGAGCATTCTTGTGCATGAGGTACAATATAGCCTTTCCCGTCCGCTCCCATCGCTTTTTTAGCGCTGTCTCCGCCACCACCGCGGCGAGGTGTGTGTGTCCCGCCCCTCCGGCTTGGCCCCGCTGCGCTCGCCCCGTGCGCCCGCTGCCTTGCCGCTGCCTTGCCGCTGCCTCCCCTGAGCCAGCCACCCTCTTTACTGCGTGTAGATACACAGATTTTTATTATTATGATTTGAGCCAAATCAGGGCCGGGGGGGTCTGGCAGCAGGTGTGGGCAGGCTCTCCATCTCCGCAAAGGAGCATGCTCAGCACTCTCAGGCATGCTCCTTCAGCGGGGAGGGAGGCAGAGCTGGGCCGGGGTGGTGGTGGGGGAGCAGAATCCTCACAGCTCTCACCGTCCTAATGCAAAGTTTGATTGTTCCAGCGGCCCCGGAGCCGGGGCCGGCCCTGCGCCTCCTGCCCCGCATCCCGCCGCACTGCCGCCGCTCCGCTCGGCTGGGGGACTCGGGCGCCCCGGGGGCGGGGGATGGGGAAGGGTTTCCCCCTCGCTCCCGACGGCGAGGGGAGGAGAAAGAGGTAGGAGATGCCCAGGCGAGAATGGCTTCGGAGCCAACTTCTGTCGGGAAACCCGCAAGTCCGCTGCTGCCTCCTCCCCACTGCCCCCAGCGCTCATGCAACGCCGAGAGCACACGGGCAGCACCATCACCACCACCATCATCACCACATTTTTAACACTATCATGACGATGCTAGGGGCCCTGCAGGCGGAGGGGAAGCCGCGCTCGGCTCTGGTAGCCGCCTTTCAGCGTTTCCCCGCGCCGCGGGGCGGCCGCGCCCGTCTCCGCGCTCCCCGCCTGGGCTGCGGGAGCCCCGCGCACCGCCCGCACCGCCCCGCGCAGCCCTCGGGCCGCGGCCGGGAGGCGGAGAGGGCAGAGGGGGATCCAACCCCCGTCACAACGACGGCACCCGGGCGGGTCGCCTACCTTGAGTTCCTCTGTCTCCAGGTTTGCTGATCTGTCCATAGAGCGAAACTGAACGGAGCGGGGAGGAAACTAGGGAAGTTGTGCCAATAAAAAAAAAAATTATAGAAAAAAAAAAAAGAGAAGCGGGGAATCTAGTCTCTCAGTTTCCAGCCTAAACTCAGCCTTGTCCTCCAAACCCTGGCAGCTCCCCTCAGTCTCATTCTCCGCGATCACGCCTCCACCGGTTAAAATAAACAAATAAATAAATAAATAAAATATTTCACTTTTTTTTTTAATAACTCCCTTAACGATTAAAGCGACAGGTGATCCTTCCCTGGTGAAAGAGATTCGCGTCCTCTGGCAATGAAAGGAGGAGACAGGAAAAAAAAAGAAAAAAAAAAACAAAACCAAATCCACTCAGTTTAAAGATTTTTTTTTTTCTTCTGCAATAAGCTCAGAAACCGACGAATTGCAGCATCCCGAGAAAAAATCCTGTTTCCCTGGACAGCATCATGCAGCAAATTTCAAGCAAATGTGTTCAAACTGAAGAGAACAGTCTATGATAAAAGCCTTTCTCCGTCATGCCTACTCTGGTAGCTAATTTAGCACCCTGTGAGCGCAAGGCATTAGCGATGAAAAATTTCGCTGGCAAGATAACAAAATCCCCCAGGTCCTGCATAGACTCAAAAATTGTTTTGCAGCTAGTCTCTCAGTAATAGTAATAGTAAAAAGAAAAAAAATTATATATAAAAGAAAGTCTGTAAGGGATGGTCTTCTTTGAAGGTTATGCTAAAAGAGTTGGGAGGAAAACAGGAGGTGGATCTCTTGCAGAAGAGAGAAGGGAGAGAGAGAGGCAGAGATTTCCCCCTCTCTCCCTGTTTTACTGTCCTTCACCGCCAGGTGACTGACTTCCCTGCTCTCGGCCTGCGCGGGGGGGGGGGGGGGGGGGGGAATTCTCCCGCTCTCAAACAGCACTATTGCCTCCCCGAGCAGCTCAGCCACGGCTCCGAACGCCGGCTGCCGCCGCGGCGCCAGCGCCGCCCCGCCCGGCCCGGGGGCGGGCACGGCCCCCCAGCTCCCGATGGCTCCTCCCGCTGGTCCCACAGGTTTTGGATAGTAGCCGCCGTCACCAATTTAAAAGCCGGTACTGCCTCATGTATCGCTCCGTATAAAAAAAGAAATATGTATATTTATGTCTGCAGATGTGTCTAAATTAATAAAGTGGTGTGGAACTTAGTCTTTGGCTTGCAGTGTTTTTGTGCAGCTGTTGAGTGTATCATTAACGGGCTTTGGTGGAGCAGCGGTCTCTGATGGAACATGGATTAAGTCTGAGACTCTTTCAGGGTGTTACTTTGCTAATCCATTTTTCCAAAGGATTCACTGTTTTGTGGCTCTCACATCACTCTAAAGGAAATCAAAATTAAGTTGAAAAAGAAAATCGCATTCCTCCCCACCAAGATCCTGATTTTATCTCAGTCCCTTATCATGTATCTGTTACTTGCAGTTTTGGAGAAGAAGGCTGTGATTTTCGGTTTCCTGCTATCAGCCCTTTGGGACCCTTATTTATTAACTCTATTAATGAGAATTTCAGAACTATCACTTTCTAGTACTGTCACTGCCTTTCTACACTATTTTAAACAGAATTGGTATTCTTGATAATTCGACATAAGTAGACAGACCTAATAGCTCAAAGTGCACATTCTGTTCCCGCGTAAGCCAAAATTCTCATGTCCACATAAAAGACTGCCAAAGTGGACACTAAATCAAGCTTCTGTAGGACCTATAGAAATTTAAGAGAATGTTTTTACCTGACAGAAAAATAGCACCCTACCCCACCCATCCCCCCAAATAAAAAGCCTGGAGAGACCTCTGTAAGAGACCATGCTGAAGGAAGATATGTCTCAGAAGGCACTTCTAAGCCTCCCTAAATGTGTCAATATGCAGTATGAGTAGAGGAAGGGACTGCTCCAGTGTGTGCACCAATCAGGGGACAGAACATGAGAGCACCTTGGTGCCCTGTCTGGTGCCACAGGATAAGCAGAAGACCCCTGAGCCTCTCCACAAATCCATGCCTGTTTGCATGATGCTTAGTAGATCAACAAGTCCTTGCACAAAATGCAACTTTATAAAAGCAGACCTACAGCACTTTGACCTTTCTGCTGTCTTGTTGCTACTACATTGCAGACTTTCTAGGGTTTGACACTCCTCAGTTTGTTTTCATATTGGCACAAAATCTGTGGGAACGTGATACGTTTGAGAATCTTCTGCTGAATTAGGCTGATGTTGGTCAAGAGTTCAGGGAAGAGAAAAAGAAAATTGACAGGGCAGTCGTATAAACCTAACTTCCTTAGAAAACAAATCAATTTTGATGGTCAATCGAATAATACTTTAAAATATATTTCACTCCTCATAGTTAATATAACCTAACAAGTGACTTTAAAGGTTTCTTTGTTGCTGTCACATTAAAAGGGGCAGAAAAGATGAATTTTCTGTCCAACCTGTATTAATTTATTTTTTTGTCTATCAGTGTCCCCCCCAGGAGATCAAAGCCTTTTAATGTCCAAAACAATCTGTTAGCGTCTCACCTAATAAGACCCTTAGCTTAACAGAATTGCTGAGATGGACATTTGATACCTTTTATGTATAGGGACTGATCTTAATAGCAGTAGAAAAACCCCTCAGCAGGTTTCTCCTATGAGTTATTTTGCCATCAATGAAACTGCCAGCACCTAAAAACGGACTCACTGTAACAGTTCACGAAATAACACGTTTATTAATACAAATTTGTGACAACTTATGGGTTTTGCTTTGTCTGGAATAGGATCTAACTGCAAAAAAAACACACTTAAATTTTGTAGTAATAATAATGCAAAGCATAGGCACACACGCTAAAGCAAAAGCAACTTACAAAGAAGTAAGACAACTTACACAGAATAAGTAAAGAAAAAAACTATAAGGCAAAAGCAACTTACAATGAAGGAATACATAAAAATTTTAAAGTACTATGGAGCAAAAGTAAAATTAGTGTATATGTATAAAGCAATCACTTGCCCCAAGGCATCCTGAGAAGGTGGAGGAAGAAAAGGTAGCCCGTTGGTTACTTCCACAGGGATAATGGAACTTCTCCACGATTTTTGCTTATGTCCAAACTCTTTTTATACCTTTTTCTTTAGGCAGTTTGAGTGGCTATCAAAAAACTAATTTTGGGGTGATAGACAGATAAAATAGGCCCAAGGGTCAACTTACCGGGTTCCCTGCAGAAAAAAGGCCGTGTTATCTGAATATCACTCCTTTCTTCGTTTTAATCCTTTTATTGGTTTCTGGGAATGGCTGCTCAGGTTCGGGGTGGGCAGGGTGGGGGTCCCAGGAAACCATCAAGGAACCTTTTTCTTCTTTTGTGTGGCCTTATCTATCACCTTACAATTTCCACCCCGTGACTACAGTCACTCAAACTACACAATATTCGAATTATAGTTTTGCAATATGATGTGATTTTATACTGTGGGGATCATCTGGTATTGATGGAGGTAACTTATGGGCTAATTGTTTCATGGTTACTCAAATTTTAATATACAATACAATTATTAAAATGAGAAGCAAAATGGTTATTATCAATATTCTAGTAACAAGAAGAATCATTTGATTGAAGATTCTGGCAGCTGTAGGTGACCATCCAAAAAGGGTATCTCGCCATTGGTGTTCTCCATCCTTTTTCGCTCATTCTATCCTGCGATATATTTCTTCTATGTCATGATATACAGTAATCAGAGCGTTTTTTACATTTCCTTGGGCTTGTTTTAGTAATTGTTTCAAGTCTTCATCTTGCAACAGTCTCTTTTACTAGCATGAAATTCATACTAGTGGGGGTAGGCTGTAAATCTCGATTTAGAATATAATTAGATTATAAAATATAATAATTAAAATAGCATTTTATAGTATTAACAAAATTACAAACACAGCCATTAAAGTCATTACTTGTATCTACAACATTATCTGCAAGCCCCGAATTACAATAAGTTTTATATAAGCATATTTTTTATTAATGTATACAAGGATTGTTTTTAAATTTTTTTTAGGATAGATTTTAAAATTATAAACATTTTGTTCAGTGTCAAGACAAATGTCTTGGGCTTTAATAGTATTATCTTCACAAATAAATATTTGTTGCTCTTGTACAATACATATATTAACATTAACAGTTTATTATTTATTTTCATATTTTCGGGTTCATGCTCTATGCTTTAGAGGATAGAGCATAGTTCTGTGGTAATTTAGGTTTAAGGTATTGTCAGCAGAAAAGCTGTAGCTGTATTGCTAGTGGGATCATAGCTAAAATTGACTAGATACCACTAGATTTTAATTTATATGTATATATCTATATATTTATATTTTTTAATTAATTGTGTTATTCCAAATCACATTCTGAATTTTAATAGGTAAGGTGTTTTTCCTCCACCTTTCTTTTCTGATGGTAGTTATGATTGTTTTGGATGATGCTAAATGCATCTGTGATCAACTGATGATCTTTTTTCTTTTTTTTTTTTTGTCAATTCCCTCTCATTGCGATAACATGTTTGTTAAAGGCCATTGATTAGTTCCCGAAGTTAAAAGGGAAAAGTTGTGGAGGGTTATTTTGATTTACTTAGGTCAGTGGTAATTGCAACCAGTTTATTAATTATTATATTAATATTTGAGAGCTCCCGTTATTACAACTTTCAATCCTGTTCTCAGGATATTAGTTGCATTCCACATATAAGGTTGTCAGGGATGATGAGCAAGCTGGTTTCACTGTGGAGATACTATTTTGTATCAATAGCTTGAGTTGATTTGTATTTTTAATAGATTGGTAGAAGGCTGAGGTGCTAAATATATTTTTTCAATAATAAGTTTGAATTGAAGGCCCAAGCTTGCTTGAGTGTTGAGGTTTGTTTAAAGGTATATTTTAAGGTTATGTTAGTATTCATGCTTAAAAAAAAGTCATATATATTGTTTTTCTTTTTAGCATAGTTTACAACAATGTGTAAGATTGTTGTGATGCATTTAGAGCATTATTTTTAATTTAACATCCTATTGAGCTGATGTTTTTGTTAATTCCTTTTAGA